CAATTGACCGACTTTTTTGCCCTCTTCGATGTCATCTGTAGAATTTTCTCAAGTTGCGACGTTTGAAAACAATTGCGATTTCTCAATCGAAATTTTTACATGAACGAAATTTCTCCAAAATGATAAATGAATCAAAAAAATCGGAATAAATTTGTTCTCAAACAAACAAGCAAATGAACGAACATTTCACAATGGTTGCATCTTTCGAGCAACTGCAAATGTATCGTGCATCGTGTGATATCGCTACGGCCACTGTTGAAAATCTGCAACTTCAATTCAGACAATCCATCTAAATTCACAACACTCCGCATTCACAATCCTCCCAAGTCCAGCTGCTCCATCCAACTTCAACTGGACTTAAGACTGCGCGAATAAAACATCACTGATTACCTTGCGTCCTATCTTGGTTCTCTATGAGAACGGAGACAACTCTACCCAGTTCCACGTTTCTCTATGCTTTGCAAAGCTTCTGGAGTAAAAATTTCCGATACACTTCAAAGTATCACTATTTTTACCTATGTGCTCTGTACTGAACCACTGAATCAGATAATTTTGCAGTTTGGGCAATCTTTCGATGCAGAGTGACAACATGCGATAAGGCCTCTTCGTGTAGTCTATGAGCCACTGCTTCGTCATTTTCCTCACCCTCCTCAGTCTTCTCTTCTGCCTGTAAATCGCAACTAGATATACTCAGACAATCGCTAACACATGTATAAGGCTGGCTGGTTAAGCTTTCATAGGAAAATTCCGATTTCAAAATGTTTTTACTTCTCAATATTATATGATTGATATCAAATTATAATCCCAATCCCAACAATAACAACGTTCATAAAAATGATCAGTCAAAAAAGTTTCACCCTAATATCGGCCAGCAACTGTTTTGCTTTCCTATAAGCCGTCTGTTGAACATCCTCAAACTGGTCGTCGTCATCGATTTCTTCAATCCCTGAATACGGGCCTAGTCCAGGCCTTACAGGCGGTCGTCCTTCATCTGCCGAAATATCTTCATCTGATGAGATTTCCTCGTTTCGTTTCGATCTCTTTTGGCCTTTGCCCGCTGACGTTTTTTGTGCGGCATTCTGCTTTCGTTTCAACTGAAAACGTGCTTTTTAAAATGTTTTTGTTTTTTACTTCTCAAAATTATATGAATGATATCAAATTGCAATCATTCTCCTCAAATGAGTTTCATCTACATCATAGAATTATCTTTAATTCACGAAACTGGTTACGAATCTCAATTTGTTTAGCACGCAATGATTTGCTTATCTCTGAATTTATCAATTTGTTTGAATCACTGAACGTTAACAAGTATAATCTCAACTGTCAAAAGGGATAGATATGTTTTGCATTTTACGAGCGATATCCCAAGTGAGCTCAATAAGGATAGATGGATATCTTCAGCTGGATATCTTCGAATCTCACACTGACTCTGATTACTCAACAATGTTTTGCCTGACAAATCAATTCCATCAAATTAAATTCTGAAACTCTCTCCTATCACAACATCAACCATTCCCTAAACAAACCTCTTTGCTAGCCGCATAATCGCCTTTACGTCCGCCATCTCTAACAAATAAAGATGGCATTTTTGATGCCACTGAATCCTAAAAATTCATTTTATCATATCATTCATCGCCCAACAACCAACAACCTTGCCTCTCCTCTCTCATCCTTCGTCAAATCACCTCATTTCTCTATCAACAAATCGAACACAAAATTTTTCATTTCAGACCTCACCACCACCTCTTCACAATTCCAGATGCATTATATCTATTTGTTCATAACTCTCACGAATGCTTTACTTTCCCCAACTTCGTGATAAATTCTTGTGCAAATATTTCGACGTTGAAAGGCAACAGAATGTGGATTCAATAAGACAAAATCGAACACACAAAGGATTGTGTTAATGATGAGTTTTATTAGCTTGTTATTCGTTGATCATTCATCAGATAATAACGAGGAAATAATGAGGACAAAATTACAAAGCATACGACGAGATATATAAATATGTATATCGTATAGGTATAAGTGTGTAAGCATTTTGACAAAATCGATTTTGACATACTCAAAACAGTGCAACAACAATAACAACAACGCAAACAAAGCGAAAAATCACCAGAAATACAAAAATTCATCCAAACATTTAAAAAAATTGAATTCAACCTCAAAAAACCACAAAAAGAAAACAAACCAAAACAAATGAGAACATAAACGACTATTGGGGAATATTTCAAAAACA